AGGAATATCTAAGTTCTCCACCCAGCGAACGCTGCAGCCAAAGGTACGCACTTTTCACTGAGAATACACCATCCTTATCACAAATCCATCTCCAATGATCTTGCTTAAAAGAGAAAATTTGCAGACCCTGAAGCATTTCCAACAAGGTATTCACACTCCTTACTTCATGGACAAAAGGTTCTCTTCTCCAATTAACCTGTCACACCCACCTAGATCCCTCCCAAGTTCCATTATGCCCCACCATTGACAACGGATCAAAGGCAAAGGAGTACAAACGAGGAAAGACATCCGACAAGCGCAAACCACCTATCCACTTATCCTCCCAAAATCAGGTCATAATGCCATCGCCAATACAGATTATGGTAGTAAAATTGTGATATATTTATTATTCTCACAGAAATCTTAAAGTAGAATTATTAATATTGTGAGAGGGAAGGAGTAATATTAAAGATATAAATAAATGAAAAAGTAATTAATATTATATTAAATAATAAAAAAGGATTTAGATTTTGTTAGAGAATACTCGAGGAGGAGTAACCGAAGAGATGGCATGAGTAGTGAGTAGTGAGTAGTGAGTAGTGAGTGTTACGTGAAAGTGATTTTCTTCTCCATCCCAAGATTCTCCAAGAATCCAAAAGACCCATGGCCAACAATCATTTTTCTTCTTCTTTTTGTTGTTGTGCCCGCTACGGCAGCGTTTTGAAGTCGAGAAAAACACACATCTACGCACTCATTCTCCTTGCCTGCGTGGCCTCCTATCTCCTGGCCGCGCACCAGCAGGAAGCGCGGCTCTCCGCCCTGAACCTCTCCGTCTTCCTGCCGTGCGACGGTTTGAATGTCTCGGCGCCTTCCAGAAGCTTCCCTCGGTGCAGCGCCAACTTCACGGAGTACACGCCGTGCGAGGATCCGCAGCGGTCGCTAGCGTACAAGCGGAGCAGAATGATATACAGAGAGAGGCACTGTCCGCAGGAAGCGTTGAAGTGTAGGGTTCCTGCGCCCTACGGATACCGGAACCCCTTCCCATGGCCCGCCAGCAGGGACCGAGCGTGGTTCGCCAACGTCCCCCACCGCGAGCTCACCGTCGAGAAGGCCGTTCAGAACTGGATCCGCTCCGACGGCGACCGCTTCATCTTCCCCGGCGGCGGAACCACCTTCCCCAACGGCGCTCAGGCCTACATTGAGGACATCGGAAAGTTGATTAATCTTAAAGATGGTTCCCTCAGGACTGCTCTTGATACTGGCTGTGGGGTAACCATTTCTAAATTATTATTATTATTATTATTATTCTCCTTAATTTCGCTTTAAATTAATAATTATCATTTTGCATTTCATGGAGATTTCATGACTCAAATCTTTCAATTCTGCATTTTATTTTCATCACCACCATCATCATCTGTTTGAGTGTTTATTGCCGGCAGAAAATCAAGATTTTTATTTTTTATTTTTTAGATTCTGAGAAAATATCATTTTTGTTGTGAAATTCTTATCTGTGTTAGTGAAAGTTGAACCGGATTTCGATCGGATCAAAGTGACTTTCTTAATTTTCTTAGTGAATGTTGAAGGGGTAACTTTGTGACTACCTGAGTTGGCTTATTTCTTAGTAATGAAGTCAAGCATGCAATTTTTGAAAATAAAAAAATAAAAAGTTGAAATGATATTGCTTCCATAGGGAACTGAGATGGCATTTGTCTTTATCTGGAATACGTGTTGGATATTGTTTAAAACCAAGGGATGTTTTCATGCAGTTGTTTTCGGAACACTAGTCAAATACAAGGAAGTGAAACTGCCTGTCTCCTCACTGCATGTTATATGTTCTTTTTAACCATGTTATTCATTTAGAAGTTATTTTCACTCGAATCATGTTTTTTTTTTTTTTTTTTTTACACAAAATCTTAAATTTAAGATATTATATATTTAGGGATGGCAATGGAGGCCCATCAGGCGGGTGGATGAAAATTGATCTCATATCCATTTCATATCTGCACGGGTATTTTTTAAGTGAATATTCATGAATTTCTTGAATACCCAAGGATATCCATGGATATTCATGGATATTTATAAATTTCTTAAGAAATTAAAAAAATTATATTATAAATAATTTTAAGTTTATATTTAATATCATTAAAATATTAAAAATAAAAATTCAATGTTAATTTTGAACTTGTATTTAACGTTAATTTTGTTGAAATAATAATAAAAAAGCAAGATAATCAATAACTTAAAATACATCAATCTCACAAGTAAGTGAAAGTCTCATATCACAAAGATGAGAGTGTAGTTTTAGGGTTATGCGGTACAAGGATAATTAGGATATTTAAGAAATATTATTAAACGAGTACCCGATATCATCATACTCGTCCCCGCCCTGTTTATAAACGGGTAAAAAATTATTCGTCCGCATTATCCACGACTATCTAATTAGCCTATGCATTTATTATCCGTAGCGAATTTTACCCACAGATACCTGCAGATGTGAGTATTTTTGTCATCTCTATATATATTGTTGGTTTTTAAAATAATTATCTTAAAAGGTATGCATATCATAATTTGTAATTAATTTATTATGTAAATTTTAACATTAAAAACACTTAAATGTTAAAGTGTTAAAATAAATATGTATAGAAATTTATGTAAACTTTGAAGGAAAGAAATATCTCATGGAATACATTCTCTTTATAGTGTTACTTATTCATGAACTTGGAAATTGGAAATTAAAAGACAAAACAAATTAGAAGAATTGGACAACATTTGATTCCTTTGCTTTTTTTCTTAAAAAACGATTATAACAATGTGCTAACTGGCTTGGTCAACAAATCGTCGGTTTTATTCGAACTGATCAACTTGATTTTTTTCAATAAAACTTTGAGTTCATCTATTGTGAATTATATAAAAAAATTGAAATGAGAGATTCTATTAAATATAAGAAACTTAATTTTCTAAGATAAATTAGTCAACAATAAAATCAATTAATCATTTACATTAATATAATGATTAAAAAATAAAATTGCTAATTGGCTTGGAGCAAATGATTCCAGTTTTTTATTTATTTTTCTCAACTCAAGTATGTTTTGGTGTATAATAGTTACTAACTTATGAATTTAATTAAAGTCTTGTGTGTATATATATTGCTTTAACTTCTCATCATTCTTGATCGTCTAACTTAGTGATTCTCTCTGATTAAATATTGATTTTTCAAAAATATTTTTAAAATGGTATAATATAATCTCATGTTTTTTAATGAAAAAACCTTTGTTTTGAATCTAAATCTTCCATTTTTGGAAGAAAAAAAAAACTTCCATATTATTAATCTAAATACTTAAACAAGGTTTTTAAATTTATACTCTTTTTTAAGAAGTCGTGTGATCAATTTATTTTTACTATTTGAATTCCTCTCAAATATAATTTTTATTATTTAAATTTATTGAATTGAGATTGAAATAATTGATTTTGATATTAATGATTTTTTGTGTATATGGAGGTTGCTAGCTGGGGAGCGTATCTTCTATCACGTGACATCGTAACAATGTCTATTGCACCAAGGGATACCCACGAAGCACAAGTTCAGTTTGCTCTGGAGCGAGGAGTTCCTGCATTCATCGGAATCCTAGCCACTAAGAGGCTCCCTTTCCCTTCCAGAGCTTTTGACATCTCCCATTGTTCTCGCTGCCTCATCCCTTGGGCTCAATATGGTACTATGCAATACTATAATCTTAATTACCCACGTACCACACCACATAACTATATATATTATTAAATATACAGATGGCATTTTTCTGAACGAAGTGGATCGAGTTCTACGCCCTGGCGGCTATTGGATTCTATCTGGCCCACCAATCAACTGGAAGAAATACTGGAAAGGGTGGCAAAGAAAAAAGAAGGACCTGCAAGAAGAGCAGACTAAAATTGAGAACGTTGCCAAAAGCCTTTGCTGGAACAAGCTAATCGAGAAGGACGATATTGCTATCTGGCAGAAACCCAAAAACCATTTTCATTGCAAGCCCACCCAACACCGCTCTTTCTGCACTGCAGTTGCACAAAACCATCCCGACAAGGCCTGGTTTGTCCAATCACCTTCCATATATGCATTGCATCTCTTCTGTTTCTTTCCATAATTCTTTTCGTCATCTTCAGGTATACTGACATGGAAACGTGTTTGACTCCTCTTCCTCAAGTGTCTAGCAAACAAGAAACCGCAGGTGGGCTACTGGACAATTGGCCAAAGAGATTCAAATCCATCCCCCCAAGGATTTATCAGGCTACAATACAAGGGATTACACCTGAAACTTATTCAGAAAATTCTGACATGTGGAACAAAAGGATATCTTATTATAAGACACTCAATAATCAACTAGGAACTGGGAGATATCGCAATCTTTTGGACATGAATGCCTATTTGGGTGGATTTGCCGCTGCACTAATTCAGGACCCTGTTTGGGTCATGAATGTGGTTCCTGTTCAGGCTAAGGTTAACACACTTGGGGTCATATATGAACGCGGATTCATTGGAATATACCATGACTGGTTTGCACAATTTATATAACCCCTTGTTCTATATTTCATAAATTTCTCCCACTTTCTCTCTCTCTCTCATATGCTTTAGTGAATCGTCTGATTCTCTTGCAGGTGTGAAGCAATGTCTACTTATCCTAGGACTTATGATCTGATTCATGCTGATTCACTGTTCAGCCTTTACAGTAACAGGTAATATATGTTATGTTTTATTTTTCTAGACAAATGTTTTGAGTGTTGAATTTATATAATTTCATGAGTTCTTCGTGTAATGGTTTTTACACTCTCAATCATTAAAAATATAGTAGAAATGATTTATAACATTTAAAATGATCGATGATCATAAAAGTCACCATTGGAATTCATGATTTGAAAGATAATGTAGAAATTCATTACACTCGAATTAAATTCTAACTTTAATATGTAAAACAATTAAACTCGCTTGTTTTAATTGATGTTAAAAATGTATTCATTAGTTGAAATAAATGAGTTTTGAAATATTCAAACGCCGTAAACTAGCTTAATTCTGTGTTGTAGATGTGAATTGGAAGACATTATGCTCGAAATGGATAGAATTCTTAGACCGGAAGGATGTGTTATCATCCGAGATGATGTTGATATATTGGTAAAAGTGAAGAGCATCGTGAATGGACTGGAATGGGATAGTATAATTGTAGACCACGAAGATGGTCCTCTTGTAAGAGAGAAACTTCTATTTGCTGTGAAGAAGTATTGGACAGCTCCAGCAGCTTCTGACAAGACTGATTAATTACTTTTCTTTTTCTGCTTCAGGTTTCCTTTTTTTTTGTTATTATTTTTTTCAATTTATTCCCTTTGTCTTTTAACTTAAATATTTTTTGGAGGGTGGGGGTATATGGAAGCATTTTTTGTGGAATGCAAATTCACTCTAATTGTGCATAGCACCAAGTCCAGAGATTAGCATTGTTGTGTTAGTAAGAATTACCAGAGTGATTAATTTCATATGATTTCACTACAACTGTCATAGTTACTTAGACAATGACCTTAGAAAGGCGTTAAGTGCTTAATAATTCTTGAGGACTTAGTGAGTTTGTCTGGTGATTAATACCTTAAATAAACGATAGTAATTAGTAATTTTGTTGCTTTAATTTCATTAAGTTAACAGTTTTCAGAAAGTAATATGAGAAAAGATACAGACTTTTTATCAGTACAGACTGGTTTGAGAATTTTTTTAAATAAATAATTACAAGCATATAATTTTATTTTCACTTTATTTTTTATTTAAAAAATATGTAAAAACATTTAAAATTTTCAATTTTTTTATGTTGTCGATCAATGATTTAACTTTTAAAGTTATAAAAGTCCACAAAAAAAAATCATCGTATAGTATGGAATGTTTAGAACATAAGTGTATATTTTTTTTTTTCATATTTAAAACTATTGAATAAAATGAAATAATATAATTTTTTTATTATTAAAAAACTAATAAAATATTTTTCAAACCAAATATGTCTTCTAAAATACAAGAGGGGCATTTATTGAACCAAATGATAGACTTGACACTACCTTAAGTTTTAGCTCAATTGCAAAGTAAACTACAATGAGATAAGTACAAAATATAAATTAAAATGTAGCTCATATATATTGTGAGGTTCGTAAATATGTCTACTTTTGAACGCAGACAAATTCTGGAACAAAAGATAAAAAGAAATTAAAATCTTGAAACAAGTGGAATTTGATGAAAGAAAATAAATTGACTGAATGACTGCACTTACAATTAAGGGTCAAATCTGAATAAGTGATTAGAGCTGGTTTGTCATGATCCCCATATAGGCATATATAATGCTCCAAAATGATAATAAAAAAATGAATGTAGCCTAAACACACACATAGAAAAAGAAATAGAAATGACTACTAAAAATTGAAGTTGGAAATTAAAGGAATGAAAATAATCTTCCTAAAGCAAAGGATACCCTTCATTTAGTATGTACACCATTTAAGCAATATTAAAATTCACAAGTGTTCTCTAACATGGTTCCTAATGTCATGTGCAATCCAAACCATTAATATGTAACAAAAGGACAAAGCACACTTATACTACATCTCAGTGAAAGTTGAATAATAGATAATTAGATATTGCCATACTTTTTTGTTTTCTTTTTGAGTTAAACTATACTAAGAATATTCAGAAGAAAAAACAACATTTCAAACTTAAAACATGTTAAGTGGTCCAAGAAAGAAACTATTGTCTACTACTCAGTAGCTATAAACATATTTAGTAAGGAACATAAATCATTTGAGGTTAGCCAGTCATAAAACCATTGCTGGTTTTCCGACATATTAACATATTCATCAAGTGATTTTGAATTAAAAGAAAAATTTTCAAAGCAATATGATCCGAAAGTTACCAGGCCATCCTTGAAACTCCACAAATACTGCACATGGCCTTACAATAGTTCAACACATGCCCGCACACAAACAGAAAATGTAGTTTAGCTACTTATGATTTCGTGAAAGTATTTTAAAAGCTTAGTTGTAACTAAACATTCTTGATCAACAACAGCAATATTTAAATCAAAACAAGGAAAAGCACAAACTAGAACTTTCTTGAGGTTGATTTCAGTCGGAACTTTCTCTTTATTTGTGATGGAGGAGACTCATGGGCTAAGGGCCCAACTACTAGGACTATGGCAAGGATGATGCATGAAGAGTGGGCCCAAGCCCAAGGAAGGTCTACCACTTTATTTTGTTGGGCTTTGTCTCAAGCCCATTAGATTAGGGATAATATAGGTTTGGGCCTTAGTGCCTTGTATTTTCTTTTAGGCCTTGTATTTTCGGCCTTATAGCTTAGGATTTACATTTAGAGGTCATTGGAATTTAGGGTTAATTAAAGTTGTATGTGAATTATCATTAGCATGTAATTAGCTTTGCATTTGATAAGCATTTTCGGCCATGTGCACACATGCACATGGTGTGACCTAAATACAACTCAAATGAGAAGCGAATCACATGCCAAAAGATAAGCACATGGGAGGTTCTGGGTTTGGCTCCCAAAATTTGAATTTTGAATTCAAATTTTGGGCGCCTAAGGTTAAGTAACCATACCATGGTTTTACTTAACCCTAGGCTAACCCTTGGTTCACTTTAACCTAATTTTTCCCTATATATTCTATATAGTTGAGACTTGTAGCTACTTTTGGATTAATTGAATGAGTTTTCACCATTTGAAACCTCTCCCTCCGAAAGTCTCTCAACCTACCTCTACTCTCCTTGAGCTCCTCTCCTTGTAGAGTTAGGTTGCTAATCTTCTTCCGGACTTAGCTTGTTCAAGTTTAGGTCACATTGTTTCTTCTTGGAGCTTCCTTCCTTGCCATACTTCCAAGGAACCAAGAAGGATTTGAAGGTGTTCTTGAGGATTCACCAAGTGGAACCTCATCAATTTGTGTGCTTAGGTGACAGAAATTGAACCATGGTATTTAGTTGCAATAAACGGGTAAAATTGACTATATCATTTCTTCATTGTGTTGCTATATATGATGCCTCATCTGAAGAGCAGGATCTTTGAATTGAATGTTAGGAATCAATTAATAGTAATAAACAAGTATCTTTTATGTAGAAAATGTATCTGGACAACGAAGCTAACAGAAAATCAAAACCTTGAAGCAAAAATCTTGATCAAGTATTTCTACGAATCGCGAAAACTAACAGTATTTGGATCGAACCAAAAGAGTGATGACGTGAACCTTGTTGAATAACTCAATAGTTACTTTGAAATGCAATGTATGTAGCAAAGGACCTTGGTCAACTCCTTTCTCAAATGGATATCAGTATATCACCAATTTGGAGCAATGTTAGTATATGTTTGTACCGATTTTTGAATGCAATTTTTTCTTGTCTCCCCCGTGTCTAAATGTCTAATTTATGTAGAAATTATTATTTATTATTTCAAATTGAACGTGAAAAATCATCCAAACACATTATTATGTGTTTCGAACCAAGATTTTGACTGTTTTTGAACCATTTAATAACTTATATTTGTCCAAAACTTTAAATAAAATATTTTTGATAATAAATTTCGAAAGATGTGTCATTTTTCCACCCTAAAAATGTTTAGCAACCTATTTAGTACCGTAAATAAAAAGAAAAAAAAAGAAGAAAACAATACAAAAGGTTATATTTTTTAGTAGTATATATAATAAAAAAAATAGTTCAATTCTTAACTTATATGACTATTGCTATAAAAAAAAATATTTAATTGTTTATTGGTCAATCATGTTTTTACACTCTTTAAGAAAGAATAAACTCACACAATTAAGATATGTAAATGTTAATGTATTACAAAATTATCACAAATAAAACAAAATGAGTGATTTTAATGATGTAATATGGGAGAATACTTTCAAAATGAGCATATTATTGACATTTATATTTATATATACACTAAATGAGTGATTTTGGAGGCTCATAATTGCAAGCAATCTTGGAGATATCATTCTCATATATGTAACAATTCTTTTGATTTCCTTTAATGTTGTACTTGTCTCAAAGGATACATGAGGGAGTCTGAGATTACACTCTGGGTTCTAGCTCGGTTGGAGGCTCCAATAGGTGAAGTATATGTAAAAACATTTTAATGCTCAAGTTAAGAAGAACACAAAGATCTAAGTGGATAATAAATAACAATAATTTTATCTTAATTGGTGCAACTATTTGTACTAATTGTAATGGAATTGAATTTGATGGACTTTACTTTCTGATTATCAGTTAGATAATACGACTGTTGATCAGAAGCTAATATTCTAATCTTTTACTATCATTATTAGTCATATATTATGACATGTTTCAAAGAGATTTTTAGTGACTTCGACATCTTTAATAGCTAAAAATGTCAAAACATAGCTCATGGCATATGTGATTTGATAGAGATGACTTTGACATTCTTGATGGTTGAGGGTGCCAAAATATTGTACATTACTTGTGAGACTTGGTCAGGTTAACTTTGCACTCTTCAATGACCAAGGGTGCCAAAGTTTTCTCAAAGTCACCAAAGTTGATCAAATCCGAGAGGATTGAGAAGAGTCATCATAGTAAATCTATTTGGTACAATTGCGCTAGTTGTAATTACCTTTGATTTCTTCATGAGTCAATTTGATTGACTTAACGACTATGAAGTGTGAATTAAGACATGTGTTCATTAACTCTCTTTTAATACAAATGTAAGAAAAAAAATTTCTCCCTTAAAAATTTTATTCAAAATTTACTAACATAAATATTAAAATAAAATAACCTTACTTATCAACGATCAAAATTAAGTACAATTTATTAAGAATGATCGAATGTGACTATTTCAATAAGAATTAAACTTAATAATATGTCTTTATATTTAATATTGATATCGATTAAAAATAGTAATAATCGCACTTACAGAACTATTAGTAAAAAAAAGGCATTCCGTGCCTGTATTGTATTAAAAAAAAAAGGGAAAAAATGAGAAATTATTTATAAAAAAGATAATTATTGGAAAATAAATAAAAGATAAAATGGGTCATGTAAAAATAGAAACCTAAAGTAGTTATTAAAAGTGATATATCATTTATATATTAGTATTAGTATAGATTTATTAGTTTTAAGTTCTTAAATTTGATTAAAAAATAAAAGGGTATAATGGTCAAAAAAGTGAAGCTCAAGGTGGTTACCGAAAAGAGTATCTTCTTTATAGATTAGTATAGATATACTCAGATTTTTTGTTGTTGTTAAATTTGTAAAATGAACTAAATTTGATTTGTATAAAAAAATATTATTAAAACTTCAATAAAAAAAATCTAAATGAGTTTTTCTGTTTCTTAAAAAAAAAAAAAAAAAAAACGGTGCCACTAAGCGTTTCTTAACTGTTAATCTCAGAAGACGGAGGAGCAGGAGCATTTATCAACAATCGTCTTCTCCCATCGTGTTAGGGTTTACAGATTGGCAATTCCATCTGTTTCTCCGCACTCACCAACTCTCTGGAATAGAAGCAGTTCCAATCTCCAAATCACTAACTGCATTCGAATGCATCCAACGACACAGCACGGCGTCGCTGTTCCTCCAATATTTCGTTTCGGTCATATCCCTAAGATTTTGGACACTGTCGTGCGTCCACTGCACCATGTTTTGTTCCTTCCCGTCGATCACGTCCTCTGCCTCTGACCTCGAACCCTAATTTTTCTCTTCGTCGTCTCAGTTTCCGGTTACTTTGCTTCTCTCTCTATAACTACTGGTAAGGGCAATGAACATGATCGATAATTATTCATTACTCTGTGGAATCTGTAGTGTTTGTCTTTTTCTTCTTTTCAAATTTGATGCATGTTAAAGCTTTATTGTGTTGCAATTTTGGAATTGAATGTGTCATTGTGCAAATGCAAAGTGAAGTTAGGTTGGTTTCAAACATTGTTTGTGGATTTGGTATGAGATAAGTTCATACCGTTGTTGGGTTTATTTTTTGTGATCCATTTCTTTTTATGAACTAAGTAAATTAAATTGACTTGCGTGTTTCTCCCAATTTGGTGAAGGTTTTTAATGGATGGGGATCGAAACGAGTTGGGTAGTGTGCATGAAGGGAATGTTGATATTAGACCTCAGACATCGAATAACTTGGACTTGAATGTGGAGCAGAACTGTTATAGTAGCCCAAATGTTACTCATGCTAATGACATTCAGCCCTCTTCTCCTTCTTCGGCTCATGTATTCAGTGCCGATACTGTGTTTGGAATTGGTACGGAGTTTGAGTCCGATGATCATGCATACAGATTCTATAACAAGTATGCAAGACTGGTGGGTTTCAATGTTAGAAAAGATTGGATCAATAGGAGTAAGGTGCATGGCCAGGTGGTGTCTAGGAAGTTTACCTGCTCCAAAGAGGGATACCGTAGGAAAGACAAACGAGATGTTAATGTGAAGAAACACCGGAAGGAAACAAGAACTGGTTGCTTAGCACATATGATTGTCACGCGGCGACCAGATGGTAAATACCTGGTTACCCATTTTGAAGCTCAACATAATCATGACAATATAAACCCTAACAATGCAAATGTGTTAAACTTGCAAAATGAATTTAGTGTTGCTCAAGCGGTGGAAGCTGACTCAAACAATAGTTTAGGACCTAAATCAAAGTCAGCATTAGATATGTTGAATAAAAAGATAAATGCTCGTGAATCTCTTGATCTACTTTCAATGAATTATGACAATTGCCTTCATTTTGCAAGGGAACGAGATATTAGCAAAGGAGAAGCAGGGCGTTTGCTTGGTTACTTCCAGAGGCAGCACTTTGAAAATCCAACATTTTTTTATGCCATACAGCTTGATGTTGATGACAAGGTTAGCAATCTTTTTTGGGCTGATGACAATATGGTGGTGGATTATGACCATTTTGGTGATGTCATTTGCTTGGATACAGCTTGCAGAACAAATAAAAATATTCGGCCACTTGTACAGTTTTTGGGTGTTAACCATCACAAACAAGTGTTAATCTTTGCTGCTGCTTTTCTGTATGATGATTCCATTGAATCATTTAATTGGCTATTTCGAACTTTCACTAATGCAATGTCTGGGAAAAAGCCAAAAGTCATTCTCACAGAACAAGAAGCTGTAATTATTGAAGCAGTCAATACAGTGTTACCTGACACAAAGCATTGTACATGTGTTAGGCAGTTGTATGAGAACACTTTGAAACACCTCAGCCATGTTGTTAAGGATGTTAAATCTTTTGCAAATGATCTACGGAGCAGTATTTATGACCCCAAGGATGAGGAAGAATTTACTCAAGCTTGGGAGGCTATGCTGGAGAAGTATAATCTCCAGCAAAATGAATGGCTGAGATGGATGTATAGAGAAAGAGAGAGCTGGGCTGTTGTCTTTGGTCGGAATACATTTTTTGTAGACATCAAAGGCTTTCATTTAGGAGAGGTTTTGTCTCAAAAGTTTAGAAGTTATCTAAATCCTGACCTTGATGTACTTCAATTTTTTAAGCATTTTGAAAGGGTAGTAGATGAGCAACATTATAAAGAAATAGAAGCTAGTGATGAAATGAGCAGGTGTTTGCCAAGGCTAATGGGTAATGTGGTATTGTTGAAGCGGGCAAGCGATATTTATACTACAAGAGCATTTGAAGTATTTCAGCGAGCATATGAGAAGTCTTTAAATGTTCTTGTTCACCAACATAGTGGAAAGGGATCATTGTTTGAGTACAAAGCAAATATATTTGGGCATACCAGACAATACAGTGTTACCTTCAATTCTTCTGATGACACAGTTGTCTGCGGTTGTATGAAGTTTGAGCATGTTGGATTTCTGTGTAGCCATGCATTAAAAGTTCTTGATCATAGAAACATAAAAGTAGTTCCATCTCGGTACATATTGGAGAGATGGACAGGAGATGCAAGGTTGCGAAAACTTAGGGAGATTAGGCAATGTAAAATGCAAGATAATCCTAAAATGATTGTTGCAAGCTGTTACAAAGATTTGTGCCACAGATTGCTCAAGTTATCAGCAAGAGCCTCTGAATCTATGGAGGCTTATCAATTTGCCGTGAGGCATCTTGATGAAATGATGGTAGGAGTGGAGAAAATCATGACATTAAAAGTTGAGGAAGGTCAAGTTATCACCTCAAATAATATTGATGTAAATGCTTCAGAAAGTGAGCCTGCAGAGATCTTTATAAATGGACATGCAGTTGAGGATCGGGATGAAAGTAACAGAGCAAATGGAGGAAAAGACAGGAGAGCTACATCAGATAGGGGTCATCTAACAACCATGACTTGTAATGGAACTGATTCTGATACGATTCTGAATGTAGAAGTATCTCCACCAGATACTGTAGTCTGCATTTCTAGCCCCTCATCTGCATATGTTTCATCTCAGTCTGCAACACCAAATCCCATTCTGCAGGTCAACTTTTATCATTTATCAGATATGATAGTTTATACTGTGATCATATTATTTGTTTACAAATATCAACAAACATAATGCTCATTACTTTTAAGAAATTATGTTTTCTCTCTCTCTCTCTATATATATATATGTGTGTGTGTGCGCACACGCACATGTGTGTACAAACATGAGAATATGACGTGTTGATTCTATCATTTTTGTATAGGGTTTGTACAGATTTGAAGCCAATCAAGTGGTTCATTGCATGTATGAACAGCCTAATCTTGTGCTGAACCATCAATCTAATTCTAACATGTTACAATCGCCAAACTTCTTTTCTAACCAGCAGGATTCTCCTGGTCAATCTCAACTACTGCAGGTGTTTATTTTTCCAGTCATCAAGTGTTTTGGTTGTATCCGGAATATGCATCTATGTATAACATGTTAAGAAATTTTTACTCAGGAGCCTATAATCCAGAGCACATACCATGAGTCCATGCCAAGCAATAATCAGATGCGACAGGTAAACACTTCTTGGTCATAAACCATCACCAACTCCACCCCTAAAAAAAAAAAATTGTGATGGATGGGGTGGATTCATGTCGGCTAATTTTTTAAATCTGCTTTGTGTATATTGGTTGTAGGGGATGGATCTTGACATCCAAAATCCACATTCATCTTCATTCTTGTTGTATGACCATAGATACAGAAGTTCCGAGTCTGCTTGAAGTACAAGGGAAGAACATGCTTGAATCATTTCTCTAATACTGTTCTGGTAGTGCCAATATTTTTGCTGTACAGTGGGGATCCATCTAGATAAGCATTGAGAACAGAGTCAACCTTCTCTCTTTGTAGATAACCAAATATTAATCATGTGATATTGTGTAGCTCATATAAACGTTATATAATTTAATTTTTATGGCTACACAACTTTTTGGAGTGAAAGCCAACATAGATGTACAAATACGTTCATATTTTTTGGTGGATAATACATTCCTTTTCATCCTCTTATTTCTTGTCTTGAATTACTTTTGTTCTGCTGTTGTTTTTACAAGGAATGCAATTAAAAGATAGTTGCCATTCTGAACTAGAAAAACTTTTGGAAACTCTAAAGATGTAATGCTTGATAAATTGTGCCCGAGAAGATTCTGAAAATTGTTGATACTTCTGAAACACCGTAAGTTGATATACAATGAGAAAAGTTATTATTTTAAAAAAGTCATGCCTTTATCTTTTAAGCTCGATAATTTAAACAAGAATCAATGACTTATATTATTCTTATTTCTCACAATAATTTATATATATATATATATATATATATATTATATAATTTTAGTTGCACGATATTAATTATTATGGATCTGGATTCTCTCACTTTAGCTTATAACATTTGCACATGACTTCGTTATTTTAAGAGATACAAATTCAACGGTGGGACATTCTGCCGAAATTCGGGACCCTGTCCAATTATAGGTTATTTGGTTCATGACCTTGTTCTTGAGTCTATAGTGTATTCTACATCTCTTCTAAATTGATAAGGAAGTATTTGGCCAAAATTTTCCCCTTCCCCTTTTGGAAATTTGATGTTGTCAACCAATGGGTGTCTCCGATACCCGTTCCTCAGATTGCCCGAGTGAATTTTGGACGAGATTCATGACCATTTTGGCATCATAGTTTCATTTTTCCTGCTTCCACACTGTTTGTGTTAAGATCGTTTGACTACTTTGAAATAAATTCTACCGTACGCTACTTTTATTTTGTTTTATTGACTTTCCTTCTGTAGAATTTTCCAATCGTTAAGCCACATTCATCACTCGTCCACATGTTGAGTCTTTTTCTAATGTTCCCATTTGCTGACTTTTCATTAATGTGCTTGACAAAATATCTGAACTAAACGGTAAACTAGGATGTGTAAATTGCAACCACCAAACTCAGCTGTTGGAGCATCAACGATACAAATTGGCTTATCATTATATATTTATAAAGTGATCCAAACTTAGATGCTCACATGATCGTCAGAATTTGCACATAAATTTTTATTTTTTTTATTTTTTTTTCTGAAAAGAGCAAAACAAAACAAAAGATAAACGCACTCAAGGTTGCTTGAATGTGGGGTGGGAGGTTGGCTATTTTTAGAGAAGCAAGATGGTATTATGCATGTCTTCGGCTTCCTTGAAATGACAGAATCATTATTAGCCAAAACATTTGTTAGGGAAGGAGAAAATAAAGATGTACCTTTCTATTTAATATTTCGGTTAAATCAATTATTTTCAGGATTTTATTTTTTCAATCCATAAAAAGTGTTTTAAGTCAACATTTATGCATAGTGAGCAGAGAGAACTTATAATTCTTATGCAAGTAACATGTTTATCATACATAAGAAAATATTGAAATAATTTATATACGAATTTTTCTTATTTAAATATTTTAATAAATCTTAATTTTTTATTTAATAGCGGGTAATATTTTTTATTATTCAATTTTCACTCATTTTTATTTTCTGTTGTTAGAAAAGTTTAGACCCAATGTTACACATCTTTCATACCCATGTTATTTCAAAAGGTTGTGTAAAAAGATTTACTGAGTTTGTGTTTTTGGAAATACAACACGAAAGATATTATGTTTTTAGAAATCATATTCTCGAAAATATTATAACACGAAATTTTATTTCTAATAATATTTAAAAATAAATTTGACTAGATTTAAATATTTTTATAAATATTTAAAAATTTAAAATGATTAAAATAAAAATAGTTGGAATGAAAATTATAATTGAATTAGAAAATAAATTTTCACATTTTCTATGAAAATTATTTTCACTCCTCTCGTCATGAGAATAGAAGTAACTTAAATCATAATATATTTACTTTATTGGAAATAAATAATACTCAAATATTTTTTTAAAAGTCGTAATAATTATAGGAATTCCACTAACTCAAATTATCATAAATGGATTTTTAATCCTTAAAACAAACACATGGTAATAGAAAATATAAAATAATATAAAATTTTTGTTGACTAGAGTTTTTAACAATCAATTCACCAAATAATGAATACAGAAATTTTATATTTTAAAAATATTCCTCACCCATTTGCTTAAAACTAGTAATTGATAAATAATTAGAAAATATAAATTATTGTTCAATCTCAAAGAAATATAAAGATAATGTATATAATGTTAAACAAAAAATATTCTATTGTTACCGATAAGATGTAATATAATCTTCTCTCTTGCTCTTAACTACTTAAAGTTCCCTTTTCAACCAAATTACACGGATTAAAAATGTTAAAACATAGTTGATGACTAGATTTTTGAAAGAAAAAAAAAAGTACTATTAAACTACTGATATACTAAGCTCCCCTTTACTTAAAGTCAAAATCTTCAGTCATATTAATTGCAGAAAAATTAGAAAAACTTAAATAGTCATGAATGACAAAATGAAACGGACAATAAATGCTTTTAATACTTTTTGGTAAAAGTCTTGTATCAAACTCCATCAAAACTTTTTATAGTGTTATAGATAAGACTCGTCACATATAAATTATACAATTCTCAATAAATGTGAAACAACCACGATATATACATCGTGTGAACATTACGTGCTTAACGTGTATATAATTATAATTTATCGTACACAGTAAATTTATTTGATTTTAATAATAATTTATTTTAAATTTGAATTAGTTAATAATATAAATGTTTTCATATGCATATAAATTAAAGTCATTTTTCTCCCTTTTATTATATATTTTGTTACAGGAAGAAAGAAAATTCATAAATACCAGTTACACCCTTGGTGGTACTGCTGGTGCAGTTACATTATGGCCAATTTTGTAAATACACGTAGGAGTGTTTTTTAGGTAATAGTCATTCAGCGAATCCTCGTATACTTTACTACCATATGGAGCATTAACAATGACGGAAAATAATTATTTATACTTGGTCGGTAAATAAAAAAAGAAAAGCGAGTGAAGTGTTAAAAAAAGAAAAAGAAAAAGAAAAAGAAAATAATTATCTAAATCTCCGACACTCTCTCTAACTACAAAATCCACACTTGTTCATCTTCTTCTTCTATCATCATTCATCATTCTCTCTCCACCAATGACTTGACTTCACAAATGGGCTTTCTCCGACGACTCTTCGGTGGCGCCAAAAAACCCTCCGCTAAGAGAAAATGGCCCTTCTTCAAACACACCGTCAACAGCAAGTCACTCCCAGCCCCTCCCTCCACCCACTTTCATTCTTCCTCTCCCTTGGACGCTAACAAGCATGCCATCGCCGTCGCCGCCGCTACCGCCGCCGTCGCCGAAGCCGCTCTCGCCGCCGCACACGCCGCTGCCGAGGTTGTCAGACTCACTAGTGGCGCCTCCGCCGCCGCCGGTGTTAGCCAGCTGCGGTGCTCGGAGGTGACCGCCGCCGTTAAGATACAATCTGCGTTCCGTGGTTATTTGGTAAGTACATAAATACTAAAAACTGAAGAGAAAAAAAAATGTTTTATTTTCATAGTTTATGATGTTTGATGACGATGTCCTGTGGCCATCGTTTTTATTCATTTTGTTCTTTTTGTTTAAGAAAATTCTTCCGTGGTCATAGCGAGTCAGGTAATTTCAAATTTGTTGACTCTTTTTTTTTTTTTTTTTTTTTTTTTTTTTTTT